AGACACAGAGACACAGAGACACAGAGACACAGAGACACAGAGACACAGAGACACAGAGACACAGAGACACAGAGACACAGAGACACAGAGACACAGAGACACAGAGACACAGAGACACAGAGACACAGAGACACAGAAACACAGAGACACAGAGACACAGAGACACAGAGACACAGAGACACAGAGACACAGAGACACAGAGACACAGAGACACAGAGACACAGAGACACAGAGACACAAAGACACAGAGACACAGAGACACAGAGACACAGAGACACAGAGACACAGAGACACAGAGCCACAGAGCCACAGAGCCACAGAGCCACAGAGACACAGAGACACAGAGACACAGAGACACAGAGACACAGAGACACAGAGACACAGACACACAGACACAGAGACACAGAGACACAGAGACACAGAGACACAGAGACACAGAGACACAGAGACACAGAGACACCCAGACACAGACACAGAGACACAGAGACACAGAGACACAGAGACACAGACACACAGAGACAAAGAGACACAGAGACACAGAGACACAGAGACACAGAGACACAGAGACACACAGACACACAGACACACAGACACACAGACACACAGACACACAGACACACAGACACACAGACACACAGACACACAGACACACAGACACACAGACACACAGACACACAGACACACAGACACACAGACACACCGACACACAGACACACAGACACACCGACACACAGACACACAGACACACAGACACACAGACACACAGACACACAGACACACAGACACACAAGAGACACAAGAGACACAAGAGACACAAGAGACACAAGAGACACAAGAGACACAAGAGACACAGAGACACAGAGACACAGAGACACAGAGACACAGAGACACAGAGACACAGAGACACAGAGACACAGAGACACAGAGACACAGAGACACAGAGACACAGAGACACAGAGACACAGAGACACAGAGACACAGAGACACAGAGACACAGAGACACAGAGACACAGAGACACAGAGACACAGAGACACAGAGACACAGAGACACAGAGACACAGAGACACAGAGACACAGAGACACAGAGACACAGAGACACAGAGACACAGAGACACAGAGACACAGAGACACAGAGACACAGAGACACTGAGACACAGAGACACAGAGACACAGAGACACAGAGACACAGAGACACAGAGACACAGAGACACAGAGACACAGAGACACAAAGACACAAAAACACAGAGACACAGAGACACACACACACACAGACACAGAGACACAGAGACACAGAGACACAGAGACACAGAGACACAGAGACACAGAGACACAGAGACACAGAGACACAGAGACACAGAGACACAGAGACACAGAGACACAGAGACACAGAGACACAGAGACACAGAGACACAGAGACACAGAGACACAGAGACACAGAGACACAGAGACACAGAGACACAGAGACACAGAGACACAGAGACACAGAGACACAGAGACACAGAGACACAGAGACACAGAGACACAGAGACACAGAGACACAGAGACACAGAGACAGAGACACAGAGACACAGAGACACAGAGACACAGAGACACAGAGACACAGAGACACAGAGACACAGAGACACAGAGACACAGAGACACAGAGACACAGAGACACAGAGACACAGAGACACAGAGACACACAGAGACACAGAGACACAGAGACACAGAGACACAGAGACACAGAGACACAGAGACACAGAGACACAGAGACACAGAGACACAGAGACACAGAGACACAGAGACACAGAGACACAGAGACACAGAGACACAGAGACACAGAGACACAGAGACACACACACACACACACACACACACACACACCACACACCACACACCACACACCACACACCACACACCACACACCACACACCACACACCACACACCACACACACACACACGATCACACAACACACACAGAGACAGACAACACGCGCCCGCGCGCAACCCACTTCTTTTGCGAGCCTGTGCAGTCAAAACGCACATCCAACATTCGGCAACCCAATGACTCCCTGCGTTACCCTTATTGTAAGAACCCCTAGTGTAGACACACTGTTTGGGGAAAAATGGCCCAGCCGTGGAAAATGGGATGAAGGCTCTGGTTGCTTGATCTTGGAGGGAGACCCGTCTGCTGCAATTGAAGAAAAGGGTCCCGTGCGACGCATGGTCGTCATTCCATGGGTGCACCATGACGCAACAATTCTGGCGAGTGCTTTGGCTTGCTTTGGCCGCAAGCCGCGTATGGAGTTTTCGTGCAATTTGACAAGTGGCATCATGGCCCAAAATTCTGGAACGCAGTCCATTTTCAAAGCCAAGGACACTCCCCAGGCAATTGGACACAGCATGACACAGCTTTGACCTGAGGCGGGGTCACTTCGCTCAATTCCTGCTCGTTGAGCATGTTCATCCCATGCAGCGCCTCATGAGCCACGGCGGCTTTGGGGCACGTCCTTGAAAGGAACCTGCTAGAGAAACAATCCTTGGCTCATGGTAGGCTCGTAGAGTTCAACTGCTTGGCTCTCGCTGCCAGCAATGTCTCCCCGCGAAGCAAGGGCAATCAATCTGGCCAGCGGCTCCCGGGCCTTTCTGACATAGCCGTAGCGATCTACTTTCACCTGGCAGCTGCTCATGAATGCCTGCTGGCCTTTTCTGCTGTCTGCTCGCAGTTGAGTCGCATTCTCAGGGGGGTTCCGCACAAGCGCTGCAACGACTTAATCGCAAATGAATGTGTTCCATCCAAGTGGCCCAGAAGAAACAAGCTTCAAATTTTTGTAGCTGTGGCCGAGGCAAACTTGCCAACTTGTCGTGTGGACCGGAACAGAACAAGACGTGACGTGGAATGCATCTGTGACAAGCAATCCGCTTCTTGAGGCGCAGGCCTTTGCCTAGTGTAGCTGTTGGTCTTTCGGTTGTGCAAGCAAAGCTGGGGCCGGAGTCTCTAAGTCAGCGGCAATATTCCCTAGCTTGGAGTCGATCACCAGGCCACCTTGGAGACCCTGACTTGGTGCTGACTCATGACTCCACGCTCACTCATGTAGCCACAGCTTCGGTATCACAAGAGAATCAAGCAAACAATGTGGATTGTACCATGTCAAAACATTCCCAGGTAGCAAGCAGTGCTGCACAGCAGCAATCAACCAACAATGTCCGCACTTGCATCTGGACAGTCAGCATCTTAAAGAGATACTACAGCTGTAGAATGCTGAATGCTGTGGCAGCAGCCAATCGATACACGAACAACAGAACAAACATGCGACAACATTGCAACTGAAAGTGGTGCACTGCTCGCTTGATCCAGGATTCTATGCGCAGCAGCCAATCCAGCCCTCCAATTGGTTAGTTTCCTCTGGCGCAGCTAGCAGAAGATCGTTGAGGCGAGCTGGTGCCAAGGGGCGGATGACAAGCTCCGGGTCGAAGTTCAAGCCCTGCGCTCAAAGAAGTGGCGGGCGGGTCACGCGGCGGTTCGGCAATTCCGGAAACTTGGCGGTCAAAGGCGCCTCCACGTCAAATCCTGGCCAGAAATTTGCGATGGAAGGGAATGTACTCCAAACCCCCTTTTCAAGCTTGTTGCATCTTGGGGCCTCTGAGCCTCTGAGCGGCACACGGTCGCCTCAAACCTTGATTGCAAAATGAATCTCCCGCGGCCTTGCTTCCTCAGGATCTCTTTGCACTGCGCATAGACCTTGCCCTCCCAGGCCTAGCAATGGAGAATAGGCAACCCAGGCCAAGAAGCCATACTGGGAGCAGCATAGGAAAGGCTGGCCTTGAGCCGATAGTGCACCAGGGTGTAGTCCAAGTCGTAGCCGACAACCTGCGCCAAAGCGCAAGACCCCTCGGACACTGCATGCGCTCACTGCACGTCAAATGCGGGCAACGCCTGCACGCCATCCATCTCGACCTCCCGAGAAGCGAAAACCCGTCGAGGTGGCTGCGCCCAGGCTCTCACCTGGGCCCGCCCGCAATGGAGTCATGCAGCGAGAGCGCTGGGAAGCGAGGAGAACTTCAAGCCCAAGGCGGAAGAATTGTGATCCTTCTAGGAGGGTCTCTTGTTTCCCCTTTGGATATGTCTCGCAAAATGCGGAGCCCCCTTGTTGGATGGTTTTGAAGGGAATCAAAAAGAAAACACAACTCACACAGGTCCCGAATTTGAAGACACACCTTTTTCAAACCCAAATGCCCAGTGACTTTGGTAGAAAAGACTTTGCACCCTCGTTGGTCGCTTCCTTTTTTGCCCTCCAAACGACAAGGTGTTGACTGAGGACATGGGTCTGTCTCCAAATTCGGAACTGGCCGCAAAATTGGGCTTTGCACGTCTTTTTATTTTTTGGTTCCCCATGACCCCAACAGAATCTTTCAAGAAAAACAACACCCAAATGGCAACCTGATCTGAGCCTCCGGCTAAAAAGGCACTGCGCTTTAGCCGGCGCCGGCGCAGCGTGTGCAAACGCTGCACAAGCGCGGAGGTTGCCTGGAGGCGGCAAGCGCCCCACAGGAAGCCAAAGACCGCGTATCTGTGTCTCGCAAGCCTAATAGCCATTTCAGGATTCGTGAGTACTCTAAGGCCTGTTTTTGGGTTCGTATTGTTTTGGTATTGGGGCTACCTCTGGCACTTCAGGGGTTGTATTGCACAGGGCAATTTGTACAGACACAATAAGATGCTCCAAACCACTTGGACTACTAGCACACACATGAGCACAGAAATCCCAAACCAACTTTAACAAATCAAGCGCCAGCACGAAAATCAGCTTTCAGCACCCAAGCCAAACCATGCAACAATGCATGCCAATTGAATGAATTTGTGACCATGCGCGGCATGTAAGTTTGGAAGGTGAGGAGTGGCAAGGCACATTCTCCACAGAAAAACCGGGATCGACTTGTTTCGCATGACCTTGCCGATTCAGAGGGCCTTTGGAGACATCTCTGCTTGGAACCCAGTCTGAAGGGTAAATCGACACTGTTCCTTCCAGCAAGATTACATTCCCGTGCAAGCGCTACGTACCCCCCCAAAAGGAAACTGGCTTTTGAAACTTCTCAATGCCTATACAATGCTAAAACAAGTTAAAACCACCAAAAGGGGTAGCGAATCCCCTGCCACAAGGGCCCGAAACCCGTCAGCCACAAGCGCACCAGATTCCGGATTGGGTGCTACAATGTTCAGTAGGGGCGTCATGCACTTAGCCTGGTCATGAAAAGTCGGAATGGCCAACAGTTTTTCCACACCGGGGCATAAGCACCATGGAAGACAAGTAATCAAAGCCCGCGGAATCCGGTTTGCAAGGCCAAGAAAGGGCCATGCGGTGTGTCGGAGAGCCTAGACCTAAATGCACCCTCAAAAACCAAAAACAAAAAAAACACAACAACATGCCCATTCTGTCACACCCACGCGACAACTCGCAATCAACTTTGCCAATGGCTTGCAGCCCAATTAACAAGGTGGCAACGCAGAAGTCTGAGGCTAAAACACTCGCTAATAGAATGCCCCTATCATGGCTCAACCAACATGTAACTGTAGAGTCCCTTTAAAGGGTCTGTGGGTCCATCCCCCTGACCACAAAGGACCATTCCGACTGGGTGCAAGGCTAGGGCTGCGGCTCCCTGTGGCAGGGCAATCTAAGAGACTAAACAGTCCGAGACACGCAAAGGGCAACTGGGTGGAATACAGCCCCTGGCCTCAATTGCCTCTTGCGACAAGGAAGGTTGCATCGGCAGAATGGCCCTTGCCTCCCTGAACCCCGCTGTGCGGGAAGATGCAGACCTGCCCTGCCGCGCGGATCACGCCGATACAATCGTTCTGAGCCACCGAATACTTCGCAGAGAACAACAAAATACAGTGTTTCAATCGCGAATTGCAAGCTCCACCAACTGCCTGCAAGTGCAAAACATTGAGCGTTTGCCAACAAATGTGACAAAACGCTGGCCGCCGCAAACAATCAAATCGACATATAGGCAATCGCAGAAAAACATGACACGTCGGAAGTAACAACTTTGCGCTTTGGTCGCAGAAAGGCATTCACATGTCCCGCTCTGACATGCTCACTTTGGCAGCTCGATACCTTACAAACGCTGCTTCAAAATGATTGAAATGCCTCCCACGATCTCTGCGCATGGTGATCAGTTGCCACGCTGCCTTGCTTGGGCTAGTGTGTATCTACCAAGGCAGCCAACAGAAGTGGCAGTGCGACTCAGTCTGTGCTGGTTGGGCCGCTTCTGCGCAGCCTTTGCCTTTTGCTTCATGAAAGAAGGTGTGGCGCAGCCAAGTATGGTGGCAGTCAAGGAGAAAAAGACCGTGGGCTGTGTGTGTGTGTGTTTGCTCGTGCCTGCGCACATCTTTGCATGTGTCTGTGTGTTTACGTGTGTGTGTGTGGCCCTTATGTGTGTGTGTGTGGGTTGTGAGAGTGTGTGTGTGTGTCTGTCTGTCTGTCTGTGTCTATCTGTCTGTCTGTGTGTCTATCTGCCTCTGTCTGTCTGTCTGTCTCTCTGTCTCCCTCTCTGTCTGCTTGCCTTCCTGCCTGCCTGCCTGCCTGTCTGCCTGGCTGTCTGTCTGTGTCTGTCTGTCTGTCTGTCTCTGTCTGTCTGTGTGTGTGTGTATGTCTCTGTCTCTGTGTGTGTGTGGGTGTTTGTGTGGGTGTGTGTGTGGGTGTGCTTGTGCGATTGTGCTTGCGCTTTTGTTCTTGTAGGTGCTGCTAGTAGTGCTAGTTATTTCGCGTGAGTTGTTTCGAGCAACTTCCTTGTGGGGTTGCTTCGTTAATGTGGCAGTGTGGCGTTTGCCTTGCCCCCTAGCGCCCCGGCCTCAGGCCAGGTTGCGAGGTAGGGCCTGGCAACGAAGCACCCGTTTGTTTATCTGTGCCGGTGTTTTTGAGTCTTAAAAGAACCTTGGGAACGAGAAATGAACTCAGCGAAACTTTTGGGAGCGTCTTTGGGTGTCTATTGCGCATATCTCACAGCTCCCTGCGTTAGAAACTCGCACATTCACTGCTCTATGCCTGCCTGGCAGCTTGAGCCGGCCATGCCAGCATAGCCTTCGCTGGGAAGCCGTTTGTGGGGACGTAATCCGGCCAGTCCCTGGGGAGCCACTGATACATAAAAGAACCCTGACCGCGGCTCCAAGTTGGAGGCTTCTTTCGACACACTGCAAATGGACATGCGGTCTGGAATGGAGGGAGTTCAGATCCAGGGTTTTAGAGGTTGCGTTTGAGAGAAGACATGCGGATTTGAGAAAAAAAACGTGGGCAAATGAGAAAAACAATGAGATTTGAGAAACAACTAGCAAGGTGAGTCATTACATGAAACATTCAAAAACTTTCATGCTCGTGGCTTGCGCCTTTTCTTTTCTGCCCCAACGAAATCTTTACGAGCGCGGCCGTGCGCTGAAATGTTCCTGTTGATTTAGCTACAACAACCCAAAACAGTTAATCTTGGCTACAAACAATTCGAGGTTTGTATTGAGCCTACTGGGCCTACCGCTGACAAACACACTGAGCATCCAACTTCCCCGCTTGCAGGGCAAGTCCGTTCCTGCCAAGACAGCACCGCACGTTGTGATTTGTTCTTTCTGATGTGCTGCACTGCCTTGGCTGGTCTTTCAGAGTGCTCCCTGCAGTGATTGACTGTTTGCTTGCTGGCCCATTTGCCTACCTGCGTTTTGGCTCAACATGGCACATGTCATGTCTCTGCAAAGCCTCGCTGGCTTCACTTGGTCAACCCTGCATTTAGGAAGACTCTTGCATTCAAGACTCATTAAATCTACTCAGTTTGGTGCCCATCTGGGGCAGTTTGCTCAATAGAGCCGGCATCCATTCTAGGTTTGATGCCCCTGTGGATTCCTTTCTTGGGAACTGCCAATGCTATCAGATTCCACCAGTCGGGGCATCTTTTGTCAACGGGAGTTTCTCTTTGGGTTGTTTGGCTTTAAAGGGGCCGAATGGAACAAGAGCGTTGTTGAGCAGCATACCTTCCGCACTGCTGGCCCGAATCCGCGCATGGCTCATGCAGTCTTTGGGATGCATCTGCCGGGTAGTTCAAACCCTTGGGGCATGTTGAAACCTTTTTGCTTTCGCGTCCTTTGCGAAACAAGCAAACACAACCTTGCTCCTCGCTGGTTGACCACGCTCTTTTCCACGGCTGCTTGTGTGCGAGATGGGTCTACGATGGTCTACCTCTGCGACTGTTCCCTTTGAGTCGCTTCCCTGCTGAAGCTCTTGATGACTGCAACCAGGGGAAACTTCCTAAGGCGTTTGGTCTTGTGCCAAAGCGCCTTGGTGCCCAATATGTGTCGCAGCTTACGGTGCGCGCTGCATTTGCACCAACAGCTTGCACACAGGGTGTGCTAAGCTGTGGATGGAGTGAACCAACAACGCGTGACACCGCTCTTAGAGGATGCTTTGAGACAAGTCAGCACCGTGGCTGACAAATGAAATATAAGAGTCATTTACTTTTAGAACCAACTCTCGCCACCCTTGTGACACCTTGCCTCACCCTTGAGGTCTCGTCACTTGTCCGCCACCGCAGGCGCAACACATGCGGTTTGCTCTGAACCTTCCTGTGTCCCAGTCTCCTCAGATCTTGGCCAAGCAGCAAATGGAAATACAACGGGCAGCCCAGTGACAATGCGCCAGGCCGAAAAGGATACTGCAAGCGTAATGTGCGGAACAAACGGTTCCACTTGGTCAAAACTTTCCCGGACTTCCCCCTTCAGGTGCAATGTGGTTGCAAGCTGGTCAAAGGGCATGTTGCAACAAGCCATTGCGGGGCAAGCAACCTTCATGCATCGAAATCAAGCTTTCACGAAACCACACATTGTGGAACAGTCAAGCCGCCACATTCCTGCACCGTGCGCTCATCATAGTAATCGCAGTGATGTCCTTGCGAATCATGCTCAGAACCTGGGTCACACTGGTAACTTCAGCCTCACCACCACACTTCATTTGCTTCCCACAGCGAAAGCAATCTGACTACTGAACATGCCTGATCTGCCTTGCTTTCATTTATTTGCATCCTTGTTCAGGTCTTGTCTGCTGAGCTGCTTCCTTTAGCTGCTGCAAAAAGCTTTGCATGTTGGCGATTCCAGGAGCGTGTGACTGCCCGCAACGTCCATGACTTTAACTTGCGTCATACAGCTGAGGTTCCTGCCATGAAAGCGACGTCGGCGCATCTCAACTGAAGAGCCGCTTCGTCCGTTGCAAGGGGACCCCAAAGCCAACCACCAACTTCCCCCGCCCCTTTGACCCAAGCCAATCTTGCTGGTGATGTGATCTAGACAACATGCAAATGATTGGAAAGCCATGCCTCCAACTGGGGATGGAACAAACTCTGCTTAAGTCTTACTGTATTTCGTGTCCGGGACGCGCATCTGTTTATTGCCTTTGTCCGCCGGGAGGCCGTCGGTGCTGGTGCAGGGCGGCTTGCAGCAGGTCGCTGCGTCTGCGCCGATGATGCCTAGCACAAATGGCTAAACCATACGTTCAGCTTCCTAGTCCTCCTGTGGACAAAATGACGGCAACCCAAATCGGCTAAGACAACACCTATGGTTTGGCCCGCGATAACTTCGAAGTCACGCCAAGGATTGCCCATCATAGTACCAAAAAAACACAAGCTTCCAGTGGGAGCCATGTTGGCAATCTGCACTTGCACTTACAGAATTGGGAAGCGCGCCTGCTGCGTTGAACCTCTTCTGGTAGCCAGAGGGGCACTGGTACACGTCACAGGCCTCTATCTTTGCGAAGACTTTCCTGACTTTCCGCAAGCAGCGGAGGAAGCTGCAGGAACTTCTGCAACTTTGTTTTGTAGTGTGGCTAACGCGCACCACCATGCGCGGCCGATTCGCAAGAAGCTTGCCACGGTGCAGAATCAACAGCAATTCGCAGGTTTGCGTCTCTGTCGGCGCAGCAACGTTGAAATGTTGTAGCAACGAGCAGTGAGAAAGTAGAAGCTGAGCCATTTTAGACATTGAGGATACACAGCGGTCCCTGGAAAATGCCTATGGAATTTGATCGCTGCAATGTCTAAGCCGGTGTTCAACAAACAATGGCAACTACTCAGCATGTCAATGTACATTTATGCCACATGGCGCGACGTGAAAACCTGATCGAGATCATCACTTCCAATGAGTTACCTCGATTCGTCAACTAGCACCTTGCCATCCAGAGAATGTATCTAACGGGCTTACAAGGGTGCAGCCGGTCGGTTCTTGAACCCTGGCCTTACTTTGCACGTTGTCATTTGCTGGGGACATGCTACGCCTGGATTCCTACGCCTGAATTCCTTGCGGGTCGGAGGAAGAGTCACCTCCTCAAGGCTTGATCTTTGTGACCCTCCTCAAGACTCAGAACCAAGAGCTTGGAACTGCGTGTCTTCTTGTGGGCTCTTTCACCTTTCAGTTCGTGCGGGAGCGCGAGGTCAAAGGCGCTCCAGTTCTGGGCTGGCAAACTGATTCGGCCGATTGCAGAGCACCAGTCTTCGTTTCTGTTGGCAGGGCCAGGCGCATCTCAAAGCACAGCTACCTCTGACCTGGCGCCAAGCTTTCTTGCCCAACGTTGGCTCTATTTGATCGGCCCCTTCAGGACGGGAAGCCAGCGCAGGACGGCGGGCGGGCAATACCATCCCACGAAGGAGTGCCGGGCGGGAAGCCAGCGCAGCCTTGCAGGACAGGAAATATCCAACACCGTTCCTCATGGCTCACGCGGCGTAGCGCAAAGAGATTCCACGCGTCGTAACTGCCACGTCTCACACGCGGTTGTCTGGCTGCAAAATGTCACACTTCACAAGAAGCTTTAGCGTCCACTGTCTGCTTTGCAACTTGACACGTGGATTCTGGTCTATGGCCCTACTGTCTTTCAGGACTCCTTAGGAGTTTGCCCATGTGGCCTGGACACATGGTGCCGCGAGGCACTCTTGTAGCCGCCAAAGATCTCACCAAGACGTTCAGCCTGTAGCAATTGGGCAACCGTGGTAGGCAAGAGGGTGGCCGGCTCGGACCGCGACTTTGAGGTCGACCTGGGAGAGTCGCTGCACCTGCAGTACTGGGTAGACGCCGCGCTCGGCACGCTGAACTGGGCGCTGTTGCCCGAGGGCGCGTACACGGGCGCCCGGCTGGCCGCCTGGGTCAGCTCCAAGGGCGATGGCCACAACCAGTAGGCATGCTGCTGCTGCAAAAGGGGTTCCTTGTATCCGACGAGCAAGTCCGGCATGTGGCATTCATCACAGTGGCTGGTTCAAAGGGCAGAGCCGGAAAGGTGAGCAGGAAGGCCGCTTCTGACGCCCGTAGAAGGCGAGGTCGGCCACACAGAGGCGTATTCCGAAGCCACGTGGGGCCGTGAAGTAGAGCAACTCCTCCTCGGTGGTGGCCCACGATGGCCACGACATCAAGGAGGCCAGATTCTGGAGCTGTTGTAGCGGCGTGCGTTGCGGCACGTGTGATTTGAACCAGGTTCCATCCCGTGATGATAAGCAACCTCCACCACATACTCTAAGATCAGACCGCGGCCTGATGCAGGTAGGCAGAGCCAATATCCCTCTTGCGATCTTAAGAGCTGTTGCCATCTTGTGATGAACCTTCAGCACGGTGTAGGCGTCGCGGGATCAGAATTGAGGTTGGTCTCCAGAAACGTTCCGGTCTAGTATCTTCTTAAGTGGAGCGCAGAAAAGCAGTTGGAGTCCATGGCGGCACAGACCTGATACGCAGCCGCGTCCAATGCCCCCGACACCAGCGCAATTTTGTCAGCTGCCCATGGCGATGAGGCAGGCAAGTCGGGATCAGCCTGCGATTCCAAGATCAAGTGCAGCTGGGGGCCTCAAGCACCTGGATGAAGTAGAGCAAGAAGCACTGCCATCACTAAGGCGGCGCACATGTTGGCTGACGCCCACCTCCACCAGTCGCGCCGTCGCAACCACCTCGGTGAACTTCACGCCCGGGTCAACCGGACCCCTCCGCAAGTGATTGGCCGACCCAGCTTCACCGCTAGGAGGGACTTGGGCCGAAGCTGGCAACTGCGTCAAAAAGGGAGGGTGTCACTTTACTAGGAGCAACGCGTGGGCGAAGCTGACCCAGGACCAAAGCACGTGTGTCAACACAGGGCGCTCCAAAATGGCAACCATCTGCGCCAGGATTCAGCACCTTGAGCTTGTCAGCGAGCTCCGAGCGCTTCTGCGGATGAACCTGCATGCACGCTTGTTCGGCGGGTGGGACACCAATCCTAAAAAGACTTGCAATATCGGTGTGTGTGTGTGTGTGTCTGTGCTTGCTTCTTGTCTGTTCCTTTTTTGGGTGTGTTTGTGATTTTTGTACCTGTTTGGTTTTCCTTTTTTATTCTCTTTTGCGTGCGCCTCTTGATTTTTGCGTGCGTGAGTGCGTGAGTGCGTGCGTGCCTGCGTGCGTGCCTGCGTGCCTGTGTTCCTGCGTTCCTGCGTGCCTGCCTGCGTGCCTGCCTGCGTGCGTGCGTCCGAGCGCGTGCGCGTGCGTGTCTCTCTCTCTCTCTCTCTCGTGGGTGGGTAGAGATTGTGTCTGTGTGTCTGTGTGTCTGTGTGTCTGTGTGTCTGTGTGTCTGTGTGTCTGTGTGTGTTTTCTGTGTGTGTGTGTTTTTTGTGGTGTGCGCGTGCGTGTGCGCGTGCGCGTGCGTGTGCGTGTGCGTGTGCGTGTGCGTGTGCGTGTGCGTGTGCGCGTGCGCGTGCGCGTGCGCGTGCGCGTCCGCGTGCGCGTGCGCGTGCGCGTGCGCGTGCGCGTGCGCGTGCGCGTGCGCGTGCGCGTGCGCGTGCGCGTGCGCGTGCGCGTGCGTGCGTGCGCGTGCGCGTGGCCGCGTGTGCGTGCGCGTGCGCGTGCGCGCGTGCGCGTGCGCGTGCGCGTGCGCGTGCGCGTGCGTGCGCGTGCGTGCGCGTGCGTGCGCGTGCGCGTGCGCTGCGCGTGCGCGTGCGCGTGCGCGTGTGCGCGCGTGCGCGCGTGCGTGTGCCGCGCGTGCGTGCGTGCGTGCGTGCGTGCGTGCGTGCGTGCGTGCGTGCGTGCGTGCGTGCGTGTGCGTGCGTGCGTGCGTGCGTGCGTGCGTGCGTGCGTGTGTGTGTGTGTGTGTGTGTGGCCCCCCTGTTCCTAAGGGGTTTTGCGGTCGTGCTTTTCTCTCTTTATTGGAGTCGGACGCCACCTTGACGAATGCCCCGGAATGCAGTAATCCTGTTGGCAGATGGCGTTCCTGATGAGGATTGCCGGCAGGATGAACAATTACCGGGCTTACGTCAAGCCGAAACTCCTCTTTTCACCTTTCACCCTTCAGTTGCTTGGGGGTGCACCTTGGCAGTTTCGCCGTCTCATATCAAGTGTGTTTAGGCACTGCGTCCGGGCTTCGGTCAGTGTCTTGATCCCTCTTGGGGGCATCTGTTCCGACTCATGCTCAGACATTTTCTACAGACTGTTACCGGACCTTGTCGCTCGTGACGCTTGACTGTTCCAGCTGATCTTATCAATACAGGCTTGGACCTCTCCCAGACCTTCCGGCACCCCAGACTGTTTTCCGTGAACCGTTTCTGTCAGACCAACTGTTTGACAACCCATCCGACTACCCGACACATCAGGTGGAAAATCACGACGCCGTCAGCTTGGTCTTGGCTCGCAATTGTTGGCACTAGATGTCTCGCCCCCACGCAGGTCCGATGTCGAACTCGGCAGGCCCCATGGCCAAGGCATCCAGGAACACTGCCGGCCCTACGCCGCCCAGGTCTCCAGTGCACCAGTCAGCATCACCGAGCAGGAGTACGCTTGTGACACCAGCTTCGAGGACATCTTGCGAGGTGTCCAACGCCTCAAGGGCTGCCAAAGCAGCGGTCCCGGCTCTTGCTCCCGGAGACGCATCGGCATCGGTCCCTACCTTGGAGGTCTGGCCTGCATCTGTAGCTGGCCCACTGCCGCAAATTCTGGTGAAAGCACGCCCGGCCACACCGATGACACCAATGACTCCGATGACGCCAACTACCCCGACAGTTTCAACTACAGCATGCCCACCTATGCCCACAGCACCGACCCCTATCACACCGATCCCTACGGCAACCCCATCAGGTCAGATGCTTCCACCGCCCAACCCACCATCCAGATTACGCCACACGACGGAGGGAGACCGGTCACGTTCCCACAACGCTTCCCCCTACTCCAAGTCAGTGCCCCCACAGCGGCGAGGCCGAGCTCGCTCCCGGACGCCACCTCCGATCTCCCGAAGGGACTCAACATCGGACAACACCGTGACGGAAGCATCGAATGCTACCGCGCCGACGCCCACAGCAGCCAAGTCCTCATCCCGGGCACCTACGGCAACTAAAGCTTCATCCCGACGACCGAGAAGCAATCGATCTCCCCTTCCGCGTAGCAGAAGCAGTGCCCCGTCAGCTCCAGCCTCCAAGGCCGCAGGAGCTCGCCCGGATGTGGGGTCGTCCTCGAGGAGCATGCAACTACGCCCCAATCCACAGGTACATCCACCGCTGGTCTTGCTTCCCAACCCGGAGTCTGATCCCTGGAGGAACGAACTTCAGGTGCTGGCAGCACCATATCTTCGCGATGGGATCCCAGTCAATCAGGAGCAGATGAGCTATGTGGCCGCGACCTTGAATGCAGCAGGCATACCGTCTCAACATTCCACCCTGAACTATGCGAAGGTCAACCCGGATCATCATTTTTATAAGATCACCCCGCACTGGTTCATGCTGACGGTCCCTTATCTTGGGGCCACGGTCCGGCTCAAAGAACCGACGAAGACGCGACCCATGCTGCTCTGGACTCACGCTTCCAGTGTTGGAGGTACTCGCGGCATCCTGCGGAGCCGACAGATCCATCCTTCCCGGCAGCACTCCTCGGAGTGCCCAGCCTTTTATGCCCAGGGCTGGAAGATCACTGGACACGCCGACTACGACGCTGAAGAAATCGCTCGCACGATGAGCCAGAACTGGAGCATGTCTTTTAACATGGCTCAATTTGGCACTTGTCAACCGATTCGATCGGGAGGAGAGCAAGCTTGCATTGAGGCCCTGGACTCCAGTGAACGTCCTGATGTTACCCACTATGTGTCGGGCAAGTGTTGGATGGTGATCCCGGAGGCAAGCCAGATCGTTGGACTCGCATGGCCCACCGATGCAAAACCGCCCACTGGTGTCCTCCGCTCGTGAACCTGCACCAGGAGCATTTGCAGCCAATGACAATTAATGATGTTTCATTGCGAATAAGAGCATACTTCGCCACACTGCCGTCTTCGACTACCGACGATATTTTGCGACAAAAAGTGCACGCCAGAGCCTGATCCGAGTATGTGCTGACCTTGCTGCAGGGTTCCTTTTTTGAAGTTTTGTGTAGCTAATGCTGTTTTCTGGTCGCTCACCACCCTGGGCCCGGACGGAATTCGGGTGTCGTTTTGGCATGGTTGTTGTTTCGGAAATGTGTGGCGTACCCCTAGCGTTTAACCCATTAGCAGTGCGGGCGGCAACCTCCTATCTAGTGATGGCTTCTCCGTGGAGCTATTCATGGCCGGCGACATCGGCACCTTCTTCCTCTTCGCATCCGGGACACTCGTATCTACCGTCATGGTCATTTCCGCAGTCCCAGCAGGAGGCATATCTCAGCTCCAATCGGACGGAACCTTCGCAACATCAACTTCGCGAGGAAGCACCGTCCCGAGTCAATCCCCCTCGGCCCCCACAGATGGCTCATCAGTTTCCTCCTCAACCACCCGGTCAATTTTACAACTATCACGGTGGTGGAACAAGTCACATGCAGACAGGTCCTCGTCCTCCACCACCCGCACCGCCAGTTCAACCTCCAGTTCGGGCACCTTTAGGCCAGGGTGATGCAACGCAATACACTCAGCCTCGATATTCGCAGCTGCTTCCCAGCACCTTCCAATCTGACGACATCTTCCTAGACAAGACGGAGGTCCGTGGTCTGCAGCTGTACCGTCACGTTCAGCCCACTCAGTGGTCCAGAAGAGTTGGGCTCGCAGGAACAGCCATCCTGGATCTTCCACTCACGCGACTTCTTCGAGGAGGAGCAGAAGATCACGCATTACGAGCACTATCAAATGGCCGCTACAGCACACCAGTTATGGCTCAGACGATAGCCGAGGCAGTCTTATTGACATCCATTCTCAAAGCATTGAGAGGCAGGGAGGTCGACATTGACAGGACAGCTCGCTCTCTCCACGCGGACAATGCGCCGGATAAGCGCAATGAGGCCATGCAGTTTATGGAGCCACTTGCAATCAAAATCGTGGATCTCATGGAGTCCTTGCAGCCCGCCAAGCAGGAGAACCTCACTCGCCACAAAATTGCCGAATTAGAGCAGCAGCTGGAGCGCTACAAGAGCAAGGGCATCACTCTTACACCAGATAAGAAGCTGCCGTCCTCGTCCCCTTCCAATGCCGCGTCCTGGACCCCCACGCCCGGCCGCTCTGACCAGTCCCTCTACATCAATGCGGCCAACTCGGATCAGTCAGGACCTCCCCTACCAGTTCCATCTCCAGAGGCTGATCCAGCCCCTAAGCGACGACCAGCAAAGAGAAAGACCCCGGCGGCTCCTCCGGATGTCACTCTAGACTCGGACCTTCTACGTCAAGGGAACCCCAAAGGTCAACAGGTGCCACTCCCCACCAGTCTCACGGACAAGGTCTTCAAGGCATGGCTACACGAACGCACGCTGTCCAACCAAGCGACCTACCTTGACCTCATCAAGCAGGAGCTGGCATCGCACACAGTGGAGCAGTTGAAAACCATTGCAGTCAAGTGGGGGGCCACCATCTCCTTAGTGAGCAAAGGATCGAAGCGAGCACTCCTGCAGTTCATCACGGTGATGTACATGTATGGCAAGTGAGGGGAGTGACGGTAGCACAGACGAAGAAGGAAGTTAGCACCATCGACACGACTGGTATGAAAAGCCCGCTGCTCCTCACGCCGGCACCTTGCCCGGAGACCATCAACGGCCTTTTATCCTTTTCGTTTTCCTGTCGGTTCTCGGGGTCGCGGGTTCCTTTTTCGGGTTTTTCGGGTTTTCCGTTTTTTCTGTTGACCCAATCAACCGTTCAGTGCTCGAGCGTTGGATGCATGGCTAAGCCATGCCGGTCATTCAATCTCCAGAAACGGTTTTTCTTTTGCAACTATATAGCAAGTACGCACTGTCGGAGCTTTACAATGCAGCCAGAC